CATCGACCAGAACGTCATTTCTCTCCATGGCTCACGCATCATCTGCTGGATGTGTGCACCAAGAACCCAGCTAATGGGAAGGTTGACAGTTCAAAGCCACCAGGCTTCCATGGAGGAAGCTAAGGCCGTGTGCTTCTAGGACGAGTATAGTTCGTCTTGGAGACCCTACAGAGCTGCTCATTCTGCCTCACAAGGTCGCTAGAACTTAGTAGGACTAACTCAACAACAGTGGGTTTGGTTTTCAGGGTTTTTGTCAAACATTCTTCTAGGTGGTATAGCACTGGTCTGTGTGTTGCTGTACAGAGGTAACTCATGGTTGCTGTGATGCTAAACACTGTGACACTGATGTGCCAAATGCGATAATGGTTACCCATGGTGGACAGTGTTGGCTGGAGCTTCCCAACTAAAACAAACCTGGAAGCAGGAGCGGCATCCACTTCCGAAATGGCTTGCCTCCGGAAACTCTATGAAGAGTGCTCAGGTCTTTCATTCATAGGGTCGCTATGAGTCATCTATGACTTGACGGCACCTAACAACAGCACACCATGTTGTTCATCCATCCATCTGCTGATGTACTGTTTCCACCTTTTGGCTATTTATTATGAACAGTGCTTCCGTGACCACTGGTGTTGAAGTTTCTGTTTGTATCCCTGCTTCCAGTGCTTTCTGGTCATCCACCTGCGCAGGCCGTATTGTAGTCCCTTTGGTTTTTTTGGAGGAAGGACCGCACAGCTTTCCACAGCAGCTGCACCATAACCGTGGATGCGGGCTCCACAGCTCTCCGCTCGCCCACCACGTTTTCAATCTTCTTCGGTTAGAGCCATTCTGGTGAGGGGGATATGGTTAGCTTCTGGTGTGTTGGTTTTTTTAAAAAAAAAAAAAACTTTCTGGATTTGATTAGAAAGTCCCTAATGACCAAAAACTTTGCACAGCTTTTCATGATTTGCCTGTTTATGCTCTGGTGAGGTGTCTTTCCCTCATCTGCTTTTATATTTTGTTGTTCATTTGTTGTTGTAGTTGTTACAGCCTGGATATTAAACCTTTATCAGATATAGTTACCAGAAAATTCTGTTCTGTAGCCTTCCTCTTCACTTTAAAAAAAATCCTTCCTTTGATGCACAAGTTTTAATTTTTGTAAAGCTCAATGCTATCTGCTTTTCCTTGTGGAAAAAAACCCGTTGTCTAATCCAAGGTTACAAAGATTTATGTTTAAGGCTTTTTCCCCTGTTAGTTTCAGCTCTTAAGAGTTGTGTTTGGTTAGTTTTAAAAATTTTTTTTTTAATTTTTTATTGTGTACTATCAAATCCGCTCCAACTGGCACAGAGGGAACGTGCCCCTTCTTTTCCGGCAGAGTATCTGCTGGATTTGAACCACACCTCTTCGGGACTGCAGTGCAGCTTCTTTGCCCCTAGGCCACCAGAGCTCCCTAGCAGTTGTGGTTTTTAACTGAATTAATGTTTGTTTATGGTATGAGGCAGGGGTTTGGCCTCATTCTTTTGCATGTAGGTACCTATTTGTTGAAAATAGGGCCTTTAATTGGTTGGGTCTAGTTCAACTGACACTGAGAATGTGCATGACTCCAGGTATTAATTGTCTCTGAAAAACCTGCTGAAGGGTCAGCGAGGGGCCAGTTACGACTCCTCAGCGCACAACTCCAGACATACTGATTCTGAACCCACATTTAACATTTTACTAATCACCTGGGGATTCTGAGCTTAGAAGGGAGCGCTCATTCCACTGCCATATGTCAGCTGTGGGTTTTTCCTATCTTTTATTAAGTCTATAGGGTTCTTTTCTATGCATAATTTGTTGAGCTTTTCTAGCACGTAAGGGTGTTAGATCGTGTGTGTGTGCGCACGCGTGCGCTCCTCTGTGGGATTTTCTGTCAGCTTTTCTATCACGTAAGGGTGTTGGGTCTTCTGTGTGTGTGCATGTGCTCCTCTGTGGGATTTTCTGTGACATTTACCTTCCCTATGGTACACTGCACTGGTTGAATGCTAAACCAATCACACCTTTGCCAGGGTCCCACTCAGTTCTGGGTTATTACGCCTCTTTACACGTAGCTGGACTCTGGGTGCTAGCATTGTGTTGGTAATTTTTATGTCTGCATTTATCCGAGTAAGATTTCATTTTCACACCACAAACCAAATGATAATTCAGCAATATAAACAAGTCATGAGTATGCATGGTGCTCTGAAAAAGACAAAAACTCAAAGAAAAGATGTTATCAACATGTTCTATATTTTTAGGCAAACCAAATAGGGAAGGGGTAGTATCAAAGACAGACATATGAATACACTCAAAAGTTCCCTAACATATTTTTGCATAAACAGTCAGACGTACAGAGGCATCGAGTGCTTTTTGGCTTTTACTGGACCAAAAAGAGAGGGAGATGTGCTTGGAGTGCACGTTGTTCGGCTGCTTTACCTCGTACAGGATTTTGTAGCAAGGTCGGATGACTGGCCAACTTGCCCGAGGCGTGGGAGTGAACACCAGGGGGCGCTGGCGTGGGGAGTGGAAGTGCCCTTTCCTAGTGTGGCAATTAGAATAAACAGGTCACACTTGGCTCCTTCTGAGCCCTGCCCCCTATCAAAGAGCACTGGATAGTTCTTGGATGGTAATTTCCTTTGCTGGGGGTGCGGGTGAGGGATTTGAGACTAAATACAAAGCTCAGCATTCAGAAAATAAGTAACGGGCCACCAACATCCTGTGGCGTTCAGCTGTACCATTTCTTTTTAGAGCAGAAGGCATTCCAGTTGAAGTAAACGATCACTTCCATGCTGGGTTCTTGGCTCACAGCACTCGTTAGAATAGCAGCTATACCCGCTCCACCCACTGGGTCTTCTAAGAGCAGTTTTTTTAAGGCTTTAAGAGGCTCTGTGGACTTGAACTAGCCCATGAAGCATGGGCACACAGGTGAGCATGAACAGGCCACAGATCTGCACTTCTGTTCAAAGACGCCAAGCAGTTACTTCAGCAACATCGTAAGGCAACAGTTAATTCTCAACAAGTCTACAAACTGGAGAAAATGGGCAGACAGACAGACAGACATCACCCCTCCTCACTCTGGCCCCTCAAGTGCTCAGGGCCAAGTTTAGGGAGCCTCGTGTGCTTTTTATAACCTCTGCAAAGCTGGAAATGGGTGCTTCATGCAAGTTTATGCTGGGTCAGACATGAGGTGGGTGGGTTTTAAGAGAGACTTAATTATTTTGCAACTGCCATTCTTCACCCTTGCCCTGGATATGCAGTGTTGTGCTACTACTTATGGTGAGATTCTGCGGAAAATGTGCCTGGAGGCGGGGAGTGTTACAGGTTGGGGGCATCCCATCCAAGTGAGAGTCCAATGATTGGATATCCTTTCACAAAAAGCCCAGGTTCTTTCAAGTCAGCGGCCACAGACGAGGAGGAGCCCTGAACATCCTGCTCAGTTCCCAGGCCCATCTGACACAGAAGCCACAGTGGAGGACGCAGCCATGTCCTGTGACTCCTGACAACGGGCACGGGCGGAGCCTGGCCTGCTCAGGACAGACATGAACCAACGGTGAGGAGGCAGCAAGACTATTAGTGGAGGGAACGGCGTCCTTGGCACAGGGGTTGACAGCACAGGGGACAGCTTTTCCTGGACAAGGTCCTTGGCGGTTGAGATTTGACATTTTGCCCGTAAATAATTTTTACTCTCCAAATCAAATGCAGGGACAAAAAAAAAAAAAATAAGGCTCACATTTTGAAACTCCTTGAGATGCTACTGCTTCTAGCTTGTTCTGATGACGCTGTGAGGAGGCATAGCGACCGCCTGGCCTCACAGGCCGGTCAGAGGGCCAGCCGACCCTAGTCTAGTTGGCTGTGTGGGCCACTGGCTCACCTGTCAGATCAGGCAGACACTATGGGGGGCAGGACAGCGACAGCTCGTGGTCACACTGCCCACCAGGCACATTAAGTGACCCTTTTCCAGGAAGCAGCTCTTTCCCCACCACCCAGGGATGACTAGCTCACTTCTTTTAAACTAGTAACTTCTTCCTAAAACGTTCTTTAGGACAATGCTTGCCAAACTCAAGCGTGCCCCGTCGGTCCCTGTTACTGCGAGCAGACCTCCGGGCCGGAGCTGAGAAGCCCGGGGTCACCGCTGTGGGTCTTCCTGTTCCACAAGCTTCTGGACAAGCACTGCTGGGTCCTGGGGGGCGGCTGCTGGGCCACCACCGCCGGCTCGAGGACAGTGGCCTCACCCGTATCCTAGCCACAGCCTCAGAAGAGCAGCCCACGGGACAGTAAGGGACCAAGAAGCTGACCTGTCCCCCTGGGCAGGAAACAGACACAAAGCCCCAGTGCACATCAGGACTGCCGGAGAGTGAGGCCTGTTCCAGAACAAAGACGAGAATAAACATGGAGGAGATGCCCAGCAAGCCCAGCCCGACCTGAGGAGCTGCCTGGGAGGACGGAGGACACAGGACATGAGGTCGTGGCTGGGTGCCACTTCCTGGGGACTCACTCTGCCCCACACAGCAGCCTTCACAGAGTAAGAAACCCAATCGCTCCTCAATGAGTCAGACAGCAGGGGTAGCAGGGGCATCAGAGGAAGGAGGACTGTGAAGGGGAGGGTCTGGGTGACCCCTGGGATCCTCACTCGTCCTCACGTCCTCACGCAGTGCCCTCTGACCACCTGTGCGGAAGGCTCAGGGAGTCGTCGCCGGGGCTCAGCTGGCTCCAAGTGCAAACAGTCCTTCTCTGGCTCCCAATGGCCTGCCAGTTCCTGGGGCATTGCTCATGGCCCTGAGGGGACGTTGCTGCAGGGGTTTGTTGGCTTTCGTCCTTAGTCCCAGAGAAAAAAGGACGGATGGTCCCAGGTGTGCTTGGTGCCAGCGCAGTGACCTCCGAGGGTCAGAGCTGAGAGCTGGCCTGACGCGCCGGCCTGCCTGGCTCTCTGACCCAGAAGAGCCACCAGCTTAGTCACAGGGGACCCCGTCCCACAGGGGAGCGAGGCCCTGGTCCCCCGCACTGCACAGCTAGAACACAAAGAGGTCGTAGGTGCACACCCAGGACGACGGGAAGGTCCAGGCAGGGAACCTCTCCTTCAGCGCGTCCAGCTCGGGGGAGCGCTTGTCCTTGCCCGAGAAATGGTGGGCGGCCAGGGCCACCGTGACCATCCCGGCCGGCTGCTCTTCCGAGACCTGGCAGAGAAAACAGTCAGCGCCCGGCTCTGTCCCATCGCAGCTCTGAACCCCAGCGACTCTCTGCACACCCCAGCACGAGCCGACAGTGGACCCACCTGTACTTCAATCCAGAACCGCCACGCCGAGGCCTGCAGGCCGTGAGAGTAAAACACGAAGTAGTCCCCGCCTTTGCTGGTGACCGGGGTGCCGTTGCCGAGGGACCACTGGCTGAGCGTCGAGCCCTTGTGAGTCCGGACGTAGAAGGAAACATGGCTCGGTCCTGCGGGGAGAGCAGCGGGGCACGCTCACAGCACCGGCCCTGTGAACTGACCCAGGCTCCAAGGGGCCAGCGTCCCCCAGCGTCCCACTGGAGGCCACCGGTGGGAGGGTCCTGAGCTGGGCCCGGAGCCCTGGCCCTGCTGCCTCATGGTGACACGGCACTACCATTCACACGACTTCACCAAGTCAGTCGTCTTTCCCTGGACAATCGACCTCTGCTGAGGCTTCTACTAGAAACAGCACACGACAGAGCTGCGGGAAGCTGCTGAGCGGTCAGGCCTGTCCAGGGTCTTCCAACGGGCCGGGGTGGGGGGGCTGTTCTAACAGAGCTGCAGCTTCCAGGCAGGGCCGACATGCGGCCCCTCGACTAGTCCTTTTCGGGAGCACGCGGTCACACAGCAGCGCTCACAGTGATGCCGGGAGAAAAGCGTAACCAGGGGCTTCTAGGAAGCTAAAGACAGAGATGTCTCCCAATATTTCATCCCGAAATGATACAGACCACTGAGAGAAAGTGAGTTAAACACAGGGTTGGAGGAGCTGGAAATGTCAAGATGCACAAGTGAAAAATCCCCGGGAGCGGCCCCTCTCACTCTAACCCTCCCCTCCTGCTGTCCAGCTCCATGACAAGCAACGGCAGGTCAGGATGTCGCCCTCAGTCCAAAAACAGTGTTCAAGTGTCCATTAGAGGAGGGGTGACAGGGAGGGACCTTCCAGTCTGCATGGAAGCGGAAGGGGTGGTCCTCAAAAAACAGCTCAGAGGAAAGGAACTGAGGTGAGAAAGAACAGAGGCTTAGGGGGTGAAGGCGAAAAGAGCTCAGAGAACACTTCCGGTCGGTCCCGCACGACACAAAGCAGGGCGCTCTGGTGGCAGAGCCCACAGGGAGCTGTGTGGCCAACACAAAGGCCGTGCCTGTTGGCGGTTCGAATCCTACAGCTTCCAAAAACTCACCAAAAGTGAACTGTGAGCTGGTTCCACTTGAAGGCAGTGAGCAATGAGTGTGAAAACACAAGTTAAATGAAAACTGGAAGACACACAACTCATCTTACCACTGTCCCTACCACATAATTAAAAATAGTGACAGAGGTGGGGCCAAAAATATTAATCAAAGAAGTACTTGTGAACAAGCATAACTCATCTGTTAAGAGAACAACGTTTTCAACTTGGCTTATGAGGCCAGGTCCAATCACAGGCTATCCTCAAGACACATACTTAAAACAAGCAGGTTCAGAAAAGGCAAAAAGAAAGGAATGGATGAAGGTATTCTGTGTAACTGTAAACCACCAGCAATCACGTCTGAGACGGAGACACGACAGTGTAGGATCCCAGGACCTGAAAGGGCTTCAGTGCAACACCACTGAGGTGCGATGGACGGAAGCCCGTGATGAATGAGCCAACACCACATGAACGCCAGCGAGCTGGTGCTCACACGTACCCCACGTTACAGCGGGGCGGTCCCAGAGCCGGAATCACAGCAACTCTCCATTTTCCTGGTGGAGAGTTGCTTCCCTGGAGAAGAGTTCTGCTGGTGTTTTATTTCCAGACTTACTCTAAAATCACGACACCAACTGCAGGCTTAAGCAGGTGTTTGGATTTCAGATAAAGGGAGTAGGGGAGAATCTCCCTTGCCAAACACAAACGGGGGTGGGGGGGGGACCCACTACACACCTCCTGAGACCCACACAAGGATGCTATAGAGTTTATCAGTGACCCCAAAACACCTTTAAAAAGGGCTGGCATGGCCATTTAAACCAAACTGAAGCTGTAACAGCTGAAAAGAGGTAAATTCCACCTTAAGAAGATAAGAAGAGCAGATCAACTGACTAAAGTCAAAGAAATGAAATGAAAAATAAAAGCCCCAGCGTCTCGATCACTCGCTGTGCTGCTGAGAGCTGGGCAGCGAATAAGGATGAGAGAAGAATTGACGCCTCTGAGCTGTGGTGTTGGAGAAGAGCACTGAACATCCCACAGAAGGCCAAGAGAACAAGCAGCTACGTCTTGGAGAAGGTGCAGCCAGAGTGCTCCTCGGAGGCAAAGATGATAAAGCTGTCGCACGTACTTTGGGCATGTTGCTCAGAAGCAGCCCCGCCTGGTCCAAGGACATGCCAGGACCTGACCACGTCTTACAGCAAAGCTCTATGAAAATCAGAACCAGCCTCACCTGCTTGTAGAAACACTGCCAGCTTCCCCTAAGTTTCTAGTCACTGTAATAAATTATAAGGAAGGGGGGAAAAAAATCTGTATCTTAAGAATGAAAAAGGAGGCCTCAAAGCCTAATGCATCCCTGTTGTTTTACCACGATGAGCTCCCTTGGCACCAGGGATGACCTGTCGGCCTCAACATTTTTACCTGATGGAAGTTTTTCAAGCTAAGTAAGCTGTGAAATCTGCGCAAGATAGCAGTACAGCTGAAGGGATCAGCTTTCTAAACTTTATGAAGAAGGTTCCAGAAACAACTTTTTAATGCCGATCGGAGTGTTGGCGCAGCAGGAGCAGGCTTGCTGGCAGACGCTTCGTCTTTAGCAGACACAGCAGAGAAGTGCTTTGAACTTTAAGATCAAACTTTGGCTACAACATTCGAGTAAAAGCGGAGCCATGTGTGTACATGCATATACACGCTACAGGGCTGGGTGACCTTCCGGCTACAGATTCATGTTAGGTTCTAATAGTGAGAATGATGGTGCAACATGATTGGCCCATCGGGTGTTTCTTATGGCTACTGGGGCTGTGCTAGTAGTAAAGCCGGGCAAGCTGCAAAGACAGAGATTGAAGAGCTTCAGATCAAAGAAATGACTTGCCATGATGTTGTTCAAGAAGCTGCAAAACTAATGTACGCAGTATATGATGAGGTCAAGGCCAGAGCTTGTGAACCACAGCTCAGCTGTGCTGGTGAATTAACGAAAGGAAGACATGAAATTGTACCAAAGGTATGAGAGAAACATGCTGAGGAATCCTTGACGGAAGAAGATGAATCAGATGACGACAACATGTAACGTTCACTTCACCATCTATTCTCCTTGTAATTTCTATCACACTCAGATGTACATACCATCTGATTCAATTTTCATTGAACTTTTAAAAGGGGTGATGGAAAGGGTCACGTGGCTCACCTGTTACTTCAAAGGTCAGCCTGACAGAGTTCCAGGGTGTCTGCTCTTTGGATACAAGCTGGAAATGAGCACGGTCTCCTGGAGAAACTTCTGGAGCAGGAAGATACCAGTTTTTCCTATTTGGAAGAACAGCGTCAACATTTAGGATGCTTTACTGGTTGACTGCCATCTCTGCCCATGGGTGTTGGAAACAGTCCACTTTTGGTTACGACAGACACCATCAGCTCTTGCCTCTGAAGCTCAGGTCTGTGCATAAGAAAATCTTCCCAAAGTTGAGAATAAAGGGGTAGAGGTGGTCTTCATTCAGCCGCTGTGGGGTACCACTGAGAAGGTTCCGACTCACAGCCAGCGAACCCATGTGACAATATAAAACCACATCTGGGGTTTTCGAGTGGGATCTTAAAGCAGCATACTCTGCCCCATCTTTCTCCAAGAGCCCCAACTGGGTTTAAACAATCAACTTTTCAGGTCAGTAAACCTTCTGGAAACACCACCTTCCCTCTCCCACCCCACAGGAAATGCATGCAGAGTCAATTCTGATGTATGGTGACCACGTGGGACAGAGAACTGACCCAGGGCATCTCCACGGCAGTTCTCTTTAAGGACACACACATTCTTCTCCTCCAGAGAGGTGGAGGGGTCTGAATGCCAACCTTCTGATTAACAGCTGAGCACTTAACCCTTCATTTCCACGCCATCAAATCATTCAAGAAATAAAACCAACAACTGGAGAGGAAGCGACACTGCTGACTCTTAGGGTAGTCAGGAGTGTCAGCCCTCTGAACGCTGGAGTTCCAGGTGAAAGACTGACTGGCAAGTAAACCTACTCTCCCAAGTCCTTTATCCCAACGGAGAAATAAAACCTTCATAATGACTGGAAATCACATACTGCCAACAATATCTGATTTCTGTTTTAAGGACACCAGTTTAAATAACGAGGCACTGATCTAGGGACAGGACTAAGCCCCACCCAAAGTAGAAAAGTAATGAACCAACTTGATCAGAAAGTGCACTGGGAGGTACCACGGGAAGCCACAGAGGGGTGCTGTCTCCTCACAGTGAGCTCGGATGGTATCGTTGATCTCGGGAATGTGAGGTGTGACGTGGGACATTCCAGTGTAATCAAACCCATTGATCCATATTCCGGAGTCCCGCTTGACCACTTTTCCATCCAAGTCATGGAATGTTCTCGTCATATGCTGAAAAGAACAAGACTGATGAGAAAGAAAAAAAAAGTTGCTCACCCCCTACTCACCCTAACAACATGCAAGGCATCACTGTGCTGTCAGGAGGGGTGGTCCTTGGAAAAAGACACCATGATGGGAAAGGGAGAGAGAGGGGCCGTGAAAGCGAGGAAGAACCTCGATGAGATGGGCTCAGACAGTGACTGTGACGGGCTTGAGCAGGGTGGAAATCTGAGGATGGGGCAGGACGAGGGCCGGCTTCCAAGCCGCTGGATCCACAATCAACACCCATGGTTGCGCAGTCAAGAAATAAGAAGAGATGTTGCACTGGACAAATCTGTCAAGGTCCTCTCCAAAGTGCTGGAGAACACCGATGTCGGTGTCTGTGCCTGATCTTAACCTTGGCATTTTCATTTGCTTCCTATACTCCTGAACGTTGGACCACGGACAAGGGTAACAGAAAAAGAAACGATGCCTCTGAACCGTGAACTGGAGAAGAATACAGAAACTCTCGTGAACCAAAAGAACAATCAAGTCTGTCTCAGAGGATGTGCGGTGCAGGCATTCCTTGAGGCCAGGATGGTGAAACACCATCTCACCACTTCTGGGCATGTTGTCGGGAGGGACCAGCACTTGGGAGAAAGCACCCCGGGAAAGCTGGGAAAGGCAGCGGGTCAGAGAAAGTGCGGAAGGATCTTCAACAAGATGAATGGACACAGCGACTAACAAGGGCTCAGACAGGTCTGCTATCGTGAGGAGGGTTCAGGACACAGTCAGAGACCCATTGTTCACACGGTAGTTGTGAGCTGTGGTCAACCTGACAGCACACAGCAACAGTACTTAGAAAAGAAAAATCCCACTATTTCAGATTTTAATGATATGAACATTAGAATTCTTTTTAGATGAAAAAAAAAAAAGGAATTCTTTTTAGATGTTGTTGTTGTTGTTACGTGCCGTCGAGCCGTAGATGACTCATAGCGGCTCTATGAACGAAAGGCCTGAGCACTGTTCATAAGAGTTTCCGGATCCAAAATGAATGAATGAAAACCCCAAGTCTCTGTAAATATTGATTAAAATTAATAAAATTTAATAATTAAAAAAAAAAGTTTCCGGAGACAAGCCATTTTGGAAGTGGATGCCACTCCTGCTTTTTAGATGAGAATTGGAAAATTTAAAAAAAAACCAAAAACAATTCCCCACAGCCACCCCTCTCCTCCTTTATACTGCCTTCTCTCTCATTGCCCTGCCCACCCAGCCTTCTCAGAACCAACACTCGCTGCCCTGGCTTTCCAATTCTGTAAACCACGTGAGAGGAGATCTGCCCATGAGTCTCCCTGGAAGCTGCTGTGGATTTGGGCCACCAGGGAGGCCAAGCCTTTGGATCAGTGGCAGAACTCTCTACACATGGGGTACAGGGCTTCTTCACTGTGCAGCTGCTGTTCAATGCCACGTGGACTCAGAGCTGATCCCCTCAGAGGCAGAGAGTCACACAGGAGGAAAGTGCCCATTTTCTCCCACAGAGCAGCTGGTGGATTCAAACCGCGTGCCTCTGGGCTCACAGTGCCACTGCCTTCCACTAAGGCAAAGGGACTCACGGCTCGCCGCTAGATGGCAGACTTGGGTCAAAGAATTCTAGGCAAAGTGCTGAGGCTGAAATCCTCGCAGCAGGAACTAGCCTGAAGAATGTCACACAGAGTGGGTGGGAAAGGACTGCACAGGGCAGGGGCCGACAAACCACAGGCCACAGCCCACAGGGCGTGTCTGCCCCATCTGTTTTTATTAATAATGTTTCCTCTGTTTTCAGGCAACGAGCCACGTGCCCTTGTGTGTGTACTGTCTACAGCCACTTTCCCTGCAGAAACAGAGATGAACCATGTCATCTACAAAGTCAAAATATTAACTGGCCCTTACAGGAGCAGTGGGTCATTCCCGGCCTCGGAGAAGAAAACCTGCTGCAGGCTGAGCACTGAGTTGGTTGTGATCTGAAGGCAGTGAGCGGAGTGAGAGCATTTCTAAAGCGTCAACACTGCATGATGGTGACTTGATGGTGGTTTTTCCAAGCAGGTGCCTTTGTTATAGTCGGGACTGAAATAAAAACAAGTGGCCACTTCTGAATCGGTCACCTGGGAGACGAAAGTCTGAAGATAAGAATGCGTCCTGATGGCCAGTCCTGTCCTTCCCCGGCGGCCACACACAGAACAGGCCAGCCCAATGCAGGTCGGCGGGCGGGGAGCCAGCGTGGTTTCTGCTGACTCAGGAAGCTCAGAACGCACCGGGCTGCCCGCCCAGACCTCAGCCATCACCCCAGGGTGCTCTTACCTGCAGGAAGACCCTTTTGGGCTTCGGACTAGCAGGGTCAGAGCTATAGGGGAAAAACGTCCCGGTGCAGACGAGGAGAAAGGTGACGGCGCAGACCAAAGTCAGGGCGACAGTGGTTCTTTTTGTGCTTTTGACAAGGTAGATGAAGTTAATCTAGAAGACAAAACACACAAAAAAAGAAGAATTACCAACACAGGCCACTCACTGAAAGGTGTCTGTCACTGACTTTACTTTCACAAGTGGGGCTCTAACAGATAAAGGGTATTAAAATGTATCAGTGTGTCCTAACATTTGCTCCAAACACCGAAATCAAACCTACTGCCACCGGGTGCATTCTAACCCAGGGGGCCTTCCATGGGTTTCCAGGGCTGTCAGCCTTCAAAAGAGGAGACTCACCAGGTTTTTCCCGATTGACTAGAGGATGGTGGATTCGAACAACTGACCTTTTGATTAGCAGTTCAACACATAACCACACTATGCCATCAAAGCTTAACACACCAGCACCTTGATTTTGGAGGACTTTCATCACAAATCCACACCCCGTCAACAGGTGCCTCCAATCTGCCAGGTCGGTCCCCTTCCTGCCAGGTAGCAGAAGGCAGGGAGGTACAGGTGACTGAGCCCGCAGCCGTGCCAGGCCACTGTTTTCCGCCTGCCCCTGCCTGTGCCCCCAGAGGGAAGACACAGCCCAGCAGGCCCCACTGGACAGTAAGGTGCTCACCAACAACCCCAAAGCCAGCACGGTCCTGTCACTGTCCCCGCAGGACGCAGCACAATCGCCCCTCCGTGTTCTAGGATGGCCATCTTTTACAGAAGCTGACCACCCTGTCTTTCTCTCCTCGAGCAGCTGGTGGTCTCGAACCATGAACGTTCAGTCGGCAGTCGAGAGCCACCAGGTCCTCACTAGTAGCCAGAGGGAAGCCTCTTCAGCTTCCGCAGGCCCATTCCAAGAACGCTGTGTCCACCCAGAAGGCTTTCGTAAGTGCCAAGATGCTGGCTGGATGCCAGCTCACGCACGTGCGCTGGCGGGACAACAAGCCTGCACAAGAGGGACAGCGCAGCCAAGCGAGGCTGTCCCCTGGGTGGACGGCGGACACTGGCCAATGAAATATGGGCAGTCAGACTCAGCCTCCAGATCCGAAATACCCCTGTGGGACCTTTAGACGGGACAAATTCCGAGGTCCCCTATGACTCAAGGGACAGGCCGCAGACCCTCAGCGGCCCTGAGTGCACCGCTCTGAGACACAAGGATCAAAACCGCGAGAATCAGAGACAGGGCAAGATGCTGAGATGAAAACAGAGAGGTCAAGCAACTCTTCACAGCCTGCCATGGCCCACCGTGTCAAGTCAAAAGGACAGCCATGGGTGGGTGTGGGGTCCCTTCTGGTCACCAGCAAAGCACTGCTGGTCCCGGGTCAAAGATGCTCCAGGAGCACCGAGCCCAGCGAGGCACCAGACTGTGGGCCCTGGCTCTTCCTGACGGTCACAGTGTTTAAAACATGGCTCAGCAGTTTCAAATATGCTGCCAAGGTTGGGCAGACCTCGGGGATCATGGATAGTTTGGCTCCAGATCAGTCAAACGAAGCAGCGTCACACCACAGCGAGTCACAAGGCCCATTCGGGGTTCCCAGCACAGGGAAAGCCAGGTCCCCACTACCCTGGGGTCTGAGGGTGACAGCGGAAGGTTACCTACTGTGAGAGGAGCAGAACAGACGCTATGTGAGCGGCGGCTGCTGCTGGGAACGTGGGCCTGTGGGGCTGGCACAGACCTTCAATCTGTGAACCACTGCAGATCTGCAAAGTGCAATACAGCAAAGCACGAAACACCCAAAAAACAAGCCCCCCAAGAAAACAAGAAGTGTAATAAATAAGGCCCGCCCACAAGGGTCTTCCCACTATGGACGGGGCTGACCCAGTCCAGCATGTCTAGTGCTCTGGGAAGTGCCACGTGATTCAGTGATCTAGCTGGGAAGACGGGTGACCAGAGCCCCCTGGCTTAAGCCTAGACTTTAGTCACAGGGTCCTTCCTCTCCAATCCTGAGCCTTGACTCTACTGGCCCTGCCTCACTTCTGAAGGAGGACCAGAGAGGGAGCAAGGAAAGGACATTGTAGAGCAGAGAACAAAAGGGAAAGAACAGTCACCCTTCTGATCCTATCTGTCTTAAATGTTGCATCTCAGGCAACGCGTGCCTTAAATGTCTCCTTGGGTTCCAAAATACACGGAAAAGGCAGTCAAGAGGAGACGCTGTGTATAGATGGGAGGGCACTGTGCCTTACCTGCAAGGCCCCTTCCGACCCCCGCCCACTAGCGCTCCAGTTTCTCACGTAATCAGTACCATGATACCCCAATACAACATGATATCCTGCAGAGACAAATCTCCAGAAAACTGCTAACCCTAACTTCACAGGAAATGAAGTGCCTTCTGGCAAATGCAGTCCCTTCAATCCCGAAGGCTGAGGGGCGCTCTCCACGGCACGCCCTATGGTTCCATCCTCCCTGAGCCAAGGAGAACGGCTGCCTCCATTAACAGTGCTGCAGGCAGACAGCTCGATATGAACGAGAAAAACCGCTGGGAAAGATGCCAACAGGTGCACCTCACAGGAGAGGAAAATGAAAGGAGGTTTTAAAGACTCTCCAGAGGCAATCTTGTCTTTAAAAAGCTTTCCTAGAGGCTGGTCCGACGGTAGTGCGTTCTCAAAGACTATTAACATTGGTGCAACTAAAGTTGGTATTCAGCCCCACTTCTGAATTTGACTGGTGTGGGGAAAAAAATCTTTCTTAGTAACACAGTTTAGAAGAGAACGTCTTCTAATCCCTTCCTTCCAATCTGTAAACGCCCCTGCTTTGAAAACATTGTTAATCTCCTGGAAAGCGAACGTCTACAGGCTTTGTGTGGTCCCTTCTGGGTGAGGAGCTGACACGTCCAGGAATCCCAGTCACTTTGCACGGGCATCAGTGGTGTCCACACACTGACTGTAATTCAATACATACTCTGGGGACCCACGTATAACCCAGCTGACTTTAGATTAGGACCTTCCCTACAGATGATGACAAACAATAAAGCCACCTATTAGCCTACATAGAGGATGCTCTTGTTAGGTGCTGTCAAGTCGAGTATGACTCATAGCAACACCAGGAACAGCCAGACTGAAACCCTGTGCTGTCTCTATCGTCTCTGACACACTCGAGCCTGTTGCTGAAGTCACCGTGTCAGTCCACCTCGCTCGAGGCTTTTTCTCCTTCACTGACAACTTTTCCCAGCATGATGTCCCTTTCCAAGGAACAGCCTCATCTAGCTGCACGGCCAAAGCAGGAGATGAACTTCGCCATCTGTGCCTCCAAGGAGCACTCTGGCTGCACTTTTCCCAAGACACCCCAGCTTGTTCTTTTGGCGCACAACAGCTTAATACTAAAACCAGAAGCAGTCTAAACTGCAGGCAAGAAAGAACATTTAAGAAATTACCATTCATCCCTGCAAATACCAGGAAGGACTAATCATCCTCTTAAGAGGTAACAGGGCCGGAAAGCGTGGAGGGTAGAACCAACGCAGCAGATTCAAAAAGCATGTGTGAGGGCTGCCCTGCCAGCCAGAGACGTGAAGCTTCACTGGCCACTTAAAAACCGCCATGGGGAACGTTGGCCACACGTGATGTTCTTACCTGCTGCCTTTCAAACCCCACTGCAATAAATGCATATGTAACAAATGTTTTGTAAGAAAAAAATTCTTTCCATGTTTTTTTAAATTTTGACATTTTAACAATCTTTACACATACATCCAATTATGTTGTTCAGTCATCACATCTATGCGTTCCACCCCCGACCCCCCTGGTGGAGCTCAGTCCCCTCTCTCGCTGTCATCCTGTGAGCCTGCCCTCCTAGGCGACCCCCTGGACACAACAAGGGGCCAGGCTCTAGCTCCATCAGAAAAGAACCGCCGTGCGGTCATGCCCTGCTTTTTCTATTTGGTTACTCAGTCTCCACTCTCAGAGCTTGTCGGGGGGTTTTCAGTGAATACCTCTTATTCTCAGAAATCTTAATGCCACAGGACAGAGAGCTGCCCATCTAGAGGCCTGGCGAGGATCTCCTCTGGAGAGGTCCTGGAATGCAGCCACCACAGCAGAAGCAACCCCAGCCTGGGGCTTCCTCCAACAAGGAGTCTGGTTACCTGCCGTGTGGCTGCCTTCTGTGCCCTACGGTGGGTCCCAAAGAAGAGACAAGGAAGGTGGAGGCAGGTGCCCACAGGGCAAGCACAGTGACACAACATGATCTGGCTAGTTCACTTATAACCTGCAGCCATGCCCAGGCCTTCTCTTGAGGACGATCCGTGAGTCAATGTTTCCTTGCCAACCTCAAGTCAGCTGAACGATAGCAGACCCCTCACCAGGATGTGGGCCGCCATCAGCTCCAACGAGCAGTAGTGAAACCACCCGCACGTGAGCAGCACCTGCCTCTTCTCATTAGTAATTTCAAAATGTGAGATAAGAAACCACTCAGAGTTCATCAGCGAGTCTCTACCAGTTCTCACCGCCTACGATCTACAAGTCAGTAGACTGAAAGGCCATTTGAGAAGTATACCCAGAGGCCTTGGGGACATGGGGAGGCACAAACTAGAGCGGCCCGGCAGTGCGTCTTTGGCATAACACTTTCCCAGTTAAGGAAAAGGCAGGTCTCCTTTAGAGACCTCTGTGTAGCTCAGTTCACCACACAGTCACATAAAAAACAAGGAAGGCCAACACTGTTTCCTTACAAAATAGGAGGAGAGGATCACTGCACACACAGCCAGGAGGGAAGCCAGCACGACGTCAGGCGGGATCTGCGAGCCGCTCCTCCCGAGGATGGGGGTGAACATCTCGAACACAGCCCAGATGAGGTACAGGACGTACAGGTAAGGGGCGGACAGCCCCAGAAGGTAGCACACCAGGAATTTCCCTCCAGCACCTCGGAAAAAGAAAACACACACACACACACGTGAAATTCTAGCTCAAGTATAGATTTACACAGCCCTTAGGTGCCCTCGGCACCCAACATACATGGAGTTAGAAGTTCTTGATCAAAAGGCAGAAATTCTGCAGAACAAAATTACAGAATTTCATATTCTTGTGGGATCCAGAGTTTAGAGACTGGACACTTCTTCTTGGTGTCCCATTGAGTTAGAACTGACTCACAGCTGACCCTCCAGTGGGTTTTCAGAAGCAGTAATCACACAGGAGGAGACTGCCCATTTTTCTCCCACAGAGCTATGGTGGATTCAAACCACATGCCTTTGGGCTGCTAGTGCAGCTTCTTACCACTAGGTCATGATAGTGGAAATTATTACCCTGAGGTAATCTTTAAACCAAAAACATCCTCTGAAATCGCCTTAAAATATAACAATAGTTTAGCTTAGCTAGTAAGGAATGTCTGTGCTAAGTAAAGCACTCTTTGAAGAATTACCTACATGGGATTAAACTGACAACTGCAACTCAAAAGGAAGTCTGATCAGTGAGTTTATGTTAAGGAGGGAGGAGCAATCAAAAAATGAATGAATGGTCGTGAGACTTGAAGAATCTAATCAATGTCACTGAACTGTAGAAATCATTGCACTTGTGTATGGTCTATTGTGTATACTATCAATGACAACAATTTAAAAAATATATTTAAAAAGAACAATTGAGAAAAAATTAGATGTGACTTTAATCTTTCTGGTACATGTTACCTAATAAAACATGATATTCTAACTTGTAAATACAAAAATAAATATGTATACAAATACAAATATATGCATTAAACAAAACACATAAATAATACATTAGGGAGGAAGCAGGAAGTGTGCTGTTACATCGAGGGGATTGCAAATGTGTATAAGTTGTTGAATAAGCCACAATAAAAAGTTGAAAAAGCATCAAAATGGATAGAGAAGCTGTGGTATACTCACACAATGGAACACCACATAGCACTGAACTCATAAAATATCATAAAAAATGGGTGACCCTGGAGGACATTATGCTGAGTGAAATATCTCAGTCACAAAAGGACAAATATTGCATAACACCAGTGTTATAAAACAGAACTGACATGGGGGTTTTGAGGAAACTAAGAAAAGGGGATAAATAATGAATACTGCATTGAAACAGATGAGGGAAAGAACTGTTTAAAAGGAATATATGATTAGGTGTTATTTGTATGACAACAGTCCAGAATAAGAGGTGAATAGCAAAGTGGACTCGGGGGTGGGGTGAGGGAAGAAACTGGGTAACAATGAAAGAATCTTTTTAAAGAGAAAAGTGAACTGCCTGGGGGAGGGGGGAGTGTAAGGAGAAAAATGAATGAATAATGAATGAATGGAAAACCAAGTTTTCTGTAAACTTTTGTTAAAATATCAATTAAAATAATTTTTAAAAAGAAAACAGGGAAAGAAAAAAAGAAAGAGCAACATTACCATGTGTTTACAAACGTGAAATGAAACAGGATATAAAATCCACAAGGTTTGAAAATGAAAAGCAAAACCAAACAAAAAGCCAGTATTGGGTTGGTACAGAAAGCCCACCGTGTACATGGAGTCGTGCTGTAATCCCACAGGCTGCAACTCTGTGAGGCTGACTCCACCAGCAGCTCCCCAGGAGAGGGATGGCAGCCTCCTCTCATGCGCCTTACAGCCTCAGAAACCCAGTGGAGGGTCAGCTATGACTTGGTTCCAACTCAAAGGCCATGACTTTGACCCACCAAGATAAAAAACACAAACAGAAAACTTTATCTTCAACTATCTTAAACCGACAATACCCTACCATGCTCCTTGAAATCCTTGTGCAAACAGAGTCTGGTGAGCAGTGGAAACGCCACCCACATGGCGCTGACGAAGGCCAGGCACAGACCCTGGAAGGTGAGTGATATCAGAGAGATGCAATGCAGAAACAGGGAGATGTCAAAGAACAGTTCTCCCAGGTACTGGTCACTGGCATTCTGAAAAGACAAATTAAAAAGAGAGTGGCAAAAAGCTGTCTCGTTCACAGAACTTTCACTGCAACCTAACTCCCATTATTCAGGAAAGCAGCACTTCCCAGTCAACCCAGACGGAGCTACCCTCACGATGAAGTAAACTGTAATGGCTTCTGGGAACAAAATGGAATTTAAACAATATTCTTACTTGTATTTTACCTGAGCTTTTTCTCCATAAGGCTAAAAGTAACTTTTTGAAATGTTCTAAAATCGAGGGAGAAAAAAAGAACTCTCCTAAAATCACTCATCTGTAACATCTGTGTTCATGCAACTTCCCCTCAACCTGTCTGAAGCACACACGAGCGCCCCCACAGGACAGCAGGGAAACTGCGGGGCCTCCCTCCCCGAGTGGGAAAGGTTCGCTTTGGGCGTTTATGGAAAGGTGCTGGTGGTACACCAGTTAAGGGCTAAGCTGTTAACTGAGAGGTTGGTGGTCTGAACTCGAAGCTGTTGCGCGGGAGCACAATACGACAGTCACTTCCTTAGGGACTAACAGCCTCAGAAACCTAGGAGTTGGTTTTACAGGATGACTGCACTGGAACTGATGACAAGAGCACCCTGGAACCTGCCCATCATACACTCTGGATGATACTTCCTAAGGCGTGAAGTCTAAGGGTTTCTGTGCGGTGACTTGAGCTCTCAGAGGAAAGCTGTTATGTGAACTTACTATGCTTTTGTTAGTGCCATCAAGTTGACTACAACTTTAAGTGATTCTATTCAATGCAAACATCCCAGGAATGTAAAAAATGGGATAAAAACTGTTGCGTTTTTCTCCTCTACTTCCTCATTTAGAGAGTACATATGTCCTAAGGAATTCTACTTTAAAAGCTCAGAAAGCTCCATGCAGGTGTTTTCAAATACAAGTTGATGTTCACTTAACAGCCTTCCTTGGACAGAAAGAGAGGCAACCACCCCTGAACATCTCATATGTCGACCAGATGCTTAATTTTTAAAATACGTGAGAAAAACAATGTATATGAACTCTAAGTAAACCAGTATAAAATATTTTTTAAAAAAAATAGAGCAATGGTAATTATACTAAATGTGTATGAATGATTGTATAAAACACAAAGTGCATGTACAAAACATGATATATATGAATTATTATATGCAAATACATTTTCATTAAAAAGAATTTTTAATGTAAAGCAAAAGTAAAAAACTACTGATTTTTTTTTTAAAAAAAGAATACATGAAAAACAATATAGATGAATCTAGAACCAACGATGCCAAGTGGCATCAATCAGCTCTGACTCAACAGCAATTAGTCTGAGCTCACGGCTCCCTGTGTTCCCAGGGTACTGGGAAGGTGCCATCCTTCTCGGGCACGTGCCATCCTCCTGTGCTCTGCAGGCACTGTGCTGGCTTCCCCACTTCCTGCATAAAATCGTGATCTCAGTGAAGCCAAGGGCCACTTCCTACAAGTCTATCACCTGTCTCAGTACAGCATCAAGCCCAAGAGCGACTCGGAGAAAAAGGAGCAGATCATTCTTTCCATCTCACCCTCTGCCCTCAGTTATATGACTGCATTTAAATTCAGTCAAAGTCACTGGACTTTAGGAAGTGTGTCTGCCCCTGGCACAGCCTGTCCCCGACAGCCAGGCGCTTGGGTTACACACAGAGAAGCACAGAGGACAAAAGTGTGAAACTGAGCCCCGTGGGGTAATTCCTGTAGAATTTGAAGCCGTCAGGACAAAAGTCCTAGCTCAACCAGAAGCAGGTGTCACAGAACAAAGAACTTTTCTTCAGCAGAGCCTGCCAACCTGGAAAGGGACCTTGGATCATGTCCCAACTTTTAACAGAAACGGACAACAGGGTCGGGGACCAAACACTGGTGACAGTCCTCAGGTCTCCCTTCTAATTACTGACGGGGAAACCCCAAAAGCCCATATGCACGGCTTGTCTTGATAAATGGGGAGTTGGGCAGCATTTTCTCCTTTAACTGCCCAGAAACTCAGAAAAATCAAGGCTCTCTGTTTCCTGGCAATTTCTTTTTTCCAGTCTTGTTATTTCAGAGGAGCTCTGCTGGCGCTACGGACAAAGCAATCAACTGCTAACCATAAGGTGTGCAGTTCGAACCCACCAGCTCTCTGGGAAGAAGAGACGGCCTGCTCCGTCCATGAGGATTTCCAGCCCCGGACCTCGACGGAGGGTCGTCAGGAGCCGGCACTGACTCGTTTGAAGGGGTGTGGTTGGGCTTGGGCATTAGTTCACAACCCGAATTCCTAATTTCATTTTACAAAATTTACACATTTGAACCATAATGGGTAGTATTCTCTAAGCAGGCACTGATGTAGCATTCAGGGACCCATCTCCCATCCTTTGAGGCAGCAAACACTCGCTGTTCATAAGGGCATGGGTCAGGCGTGTCTGAGCGCCGGGGTTACAGCAAAGAACAGGCCCCAGCCTCATGGACAGTAAAAAAAACAGTAAAACCGCTCCATCACTGGGCGAGCGAGCCAGGGACGGAGGGTGGGATGAGCATCTAACCACAGAAACAGCAGGGCTGGCGGCCGGCTGTTAGTGCAAACACCACTTGGAGGCCAGGCGCGTAACCTCATTCCAAATCTGCACCCAGCCCTCACCGTAAGAAACCCTTCCCAAAGCCATGACTTCCCAAGGCCAGCGATGTTCCAAAGCCATCCCTGAAGCCAGTTTTCTGTAACCAGGCAAAGCAAGTTTTAACAGTTCAAAGGGTCAAATGTTAATGATTCCACTTGGGATTGCCTTCAATTCTTGAAGACAGCATTTAAAATCAAACGACACTTACCACGTAATAGAATCTTTTTGCGAGGCTGTGTATGAACACTATTTTGGCCACAGCTGCCGCTCCATACAGACAGACGGAAACATAGAAGTGGGTGTACCACGACAGAGACTGTCCGATGAGCGAGATGAAGACGGCGATGATGAGCACAGTGAGCAGGCTGGTGAACCAGCTGACGAGGGTGACGCCGAGCCCGCACAGGAAGTCCTTCGTGTAGTGAGCAGCTGGTGAAGAGAAACCCAAAGCGGAGGTCACCATCTCCACCATCACCACACAACCAGAGAGAGCAAACCCGGTGCCTCGAGGTAGCTCCAACTCTCACAGCCCTGCCGGGAGAGAACCGCCCCAGCGATTCCAAAGCAGGTGAGCTTCACTGAAGTAGACTGCCCCATCTCCCTCCCAGGAAGCACATGGTGGGTTTGAACTGCCAACCCTTCCGTCAGCAGCCAAACACTTAACTACTGCACCACCAGGGTCCCCAATCATAAAAGCAGTACATGGAGTACATGGAAAAATCATCACATTTACCACTGCAACTGAAAAGAACTGAAACTTCCTAGTGCCAACAAGAGTTTGTTAAGCAACAGAAGCGGTCCCAGAAGAACTATCACAGAAATCTTTAACTAATATTGACTTTGGAAGCAGGAGTGACATCTACTTACTAAACAACATGCCTTCGGAAACTCTATGAACTCTGATAAATGTTGATAGTTATAAAAAGGCTTCAGGCCTTTTGTTCATAGGGTCGCTATGAGTCGTGCTCAACTTGAAGGCAATCAAAAATATTGACGTGAGGGAACACTAGTGGCCTAGTGGTAAGAAGCTGCACTGCAATCCCCAAGGCACAAAGTTCAAATCTACCAGCTGCTCTTGCGGAGAAGGATGGGGAATCTCCTCCCGTGCAATTAACTGCCTCTAAAAACCTTCCAGAGGGTCAACTATGAGTCCATTCTGACTTGACGGTACACAACAACAGCACTGACTGGTGTCTATTGAGTGGTAAAGAGTTACAGTGGCAACCCAAAGGTCCACAGTTTAAATCCACCAGCTGCTTGAAGGATGGCAGTCTCCTCCCACGTGATTAACTGCCTCTGAAAACCCACTGGAGGGTCAGCTTTGGGTGGCTTCTGATTTGATGGTATACAACACGGGTACTGAAAGAGCGTGGCATCTGGGGCTGCTTACCCCGTGGGTGGGATCCCCCAGCCACTCTCTGGGAGTACGATGAGGCAGCTTCGTCCCTTAGAGTCCCAGCCTTAGGAAGCTGACAAAGTGCCGCCCGGGGTCAGCACTGAGCCGGCTCTGTGCTGCTTTGGCTTATGGATACTAAGGACACTGGACTAAGGCTTCCTGGAATTGCTCAGATTCCTGGAAGAATCTGACAAGGAGAGAGGAAGGTCCGAAGCTTCATCACCTTTGGGGTGCTTTCTTTATCAAAATAACAGAAGAATCAAAGGCAGAGTTCCAAATCCTGCCCAAAGCAGCCAGCCCAGGAAGTGAAAGGAGCATGGGGGAGGAACGACTGAGGGGTACTCTTCAAATCGCTGCGAAATATGACCTTACAAAGCAGATATTAATTAAAGACTATGAGCCCTTTCGAGTAAGAACATTTCAAGGAGAAAGAAGCAACTGTAACCCAAAGCAGTTCACGTTGACTCTAAGGGGGCTTTACAACGTCTGTGGCGTGGACAAGACCTTCTCAAGGGACTTTGCACTGAAAACCTGTACAGTTCATTTCTCAGCAGCACCTATGTGGTGCGTGTGTGTAAGACATGAAAACAAACTGCTTCCGCAACATCAGAAGTTTAACAAGCATAGCAAGATGACAGTCATTTGGGCATTTCTTACAACATCAAACCATTCATTCTTTTTTCAGATTTTCAACTTTCTGCAAAGATTCATTTGGGATGAGCACAGAGCGTTCGTTCCGCAGCCCCTGCCTAGCCAGCACCTCCAGTGCAGAGACCACACTTACTTTTCCGTCTGGGCTGCAGGAGTTTTCGGCCCAGGTAGACCACAGCGGCCAGGACCACCATGTAGTTCACTACCGAGCCAACCCGGGCAGGGTAGGCGATGACAAAAAGGCCAAACACGTCAAAGAAGACCATCTTTCCATGCTGATACTCAGAGGAGGAAGCCAGCATATCAGACGTCGCTAGATACTTAAGAACTGCTAAAATGTTATCACCTGTTGGTAAAAAGGTAGATGATACAATGACTTATCTTGACGTGACTCACATGTATAAATGACCTAACAGCAGGAATAAACCACTGCTGCTTGAGTAAAGAAACAGCTACAAAGAAGGTGACATAGGAGCAGTGTCCCAGCATCCATCACCCTCTCCCACTTCCCAGATGCACAGGAGCAGTTTCCCAGCATCCTCCCACCCTCTCTCACTTCCCAGATGCCTTCAGTTAGGCCCACGCCCGTTGCATCATTTCCTCTCCATTTACAGGCCCAACCGACTGTACAGTCTTGGCCTTGGTCCTGGCCCCTGCACTACAATGAAGCTCTAAGCTCTATAATCAGCTGCTCTGTGCTCCCTGGTTATTCCCCCTTTCCAGACATTAACAGATAAGCCCCTGTACCAGGCACTCTTAACACCGTAAATTCAGCGGTGAGTCAGGTCACAAAGCCCCCGATGACACAGACAACAGGAGGTTACACTGACAACGGGGGCCTGGGGACCGAGGGAGTGTGGGACGTCGGAGGCATCTCTCGGGAAGTGCTATTTATAGCTGAGGATGAATCAGACACACTGAGCTCTAGTGCAGACTGAGGGAACTGCATGGACAGAGGCCCTGGGGAGAGGAAGTCCAAGGAGCAGAGAGGTCTTGAGCGAGAGGCCCCAGTAAATACGAGTGCATCTACACAATGACAGCGACAGTTCACAGGCCTCCATTCATTCATCTCAGGCACGGCTCAGCCTTCCTCAATCTCCTCCAGGCACGGCTCATCTCCGTCGGTCCAAACGTGCCTCCCCCAGGCTCAGTCCCCTGCCCTCTCCTTCCGTTCACTCTGGCAAAACCCATTTTCACGTCCACCCTGTGCTCAGTGCTCATGTATAATCCAGCATCTGTGATCACCCAGGACACACCCCTAACCCCAGGCACCCCGCCGTCAGGGTCCACCAGAGTGTCCAGCCATCACTTTCTGTTTGCTCTGGGTGAGAGGTGCCTCCCATGTTCCCCCAGTGTCAACAACTCTGACACTGGGATCATTGCAGTCAATCCAATGCACGTCTTCTACTTACTGCCTATCTTAACTGAATTTAATCAGAATGTGTCTAATTGGCCACAGTGTCCCTTCATTCCGATGTCCCATGACCCCCAGCCAGGTCTTCAGGGTTACACTCAGCTCACCCAGCAGGCCCTGCAGCCTGGTCCCTGCCAATCCCTCAAGATGCCACCAGACAGTAGGTGCCTCACCCCTCACCTGCTTCAGCCATTCCTGGTGCCCCTGGCATCTGCTCGCTGACCTCCTACAGCTAGTTCTGCCCATACACCATCCCCCTTCCCCTTGTTTCTGAAAATGCAGCTTCTGTTCCTGTGCCCTGGAACACACTGTGCTCAATCTACCAACTCTTGGAGCTTCCGCATCCGACCCACCACCTGGGACAATTCCAGATCTCTCTGGAAAGCACCTTTAACGCCCTTGCCCCGTGGCCTCCTCTGGCATCTCACCTGTCTGCCCCATCCAACTTGAGAACAATGTAACCGACTCCTTCTGTGTCAGGAGAGCGTGGGGACACGCAAGCAGGTGTCCCCTCCATTCCAGTCTGCACTGTCCCCCGCTGCCCACAATGGGAGGTCACCTTCTTCAGGGAGCAGTCTCACCCCCAGCCCATGCACACCCCATGAAGCAGAAAAGGTTTACGGACCATCCAATAGTGCATCAAAAGTCTAAACGAATACCAACCTGCTCGCTGAATGGAATCGGTCAGGATTCTGTCTGCTGTGTCGTACTTGGTGTGGTAAAGGTATCCATTCTCGATGAAAGCTAAGTCTATTCCTGCACCAGAGAATAAAGAAAAGAAGGCAAAGTTATTTTGCTATAAAGATCAATTTTGCTTTAGCGCATTACATTCCTAAAAGGTCAATTCCTGACTGTGATGACATTTATGAATGAACGGCTGGCATTCTCTTCCTGGTTCCTACAGAACCCACATGAGAGCCGTAACTCACAGCCCAACAGTGAAGGACGGACAGGAACAGGATCTCCTGGGGAGGCAGGCACTTCACAGAGAAGGGGTGGGAGTGCAGGGCTGAAGGCGGCCATCAAAGACTTGTCATCTGCATCCCATCCAGACAAGAGCTAAAACTTAGCTTCAATAAAGTGGGCCAAGCAGCTAAGAATGCACAGAGCCAGGTACGAACAAAACTCAAAGAACCCTCAAGAGAGGGTCCTGACCATCTGGGAAGAAAATGTTAGACCGCTTTCCCACCGCTGGTCCTCAGGACAAAGGAGCGCCCTGGAGGAGACCATGCTTTATGTTTGTGTGGAGTTCACAGAGCAGGGAGCAGCCAGGAGACTGTGGAGCGAGAAGGAACAGCTCTCACAGGGAAACCTTCCTCTCAGAACGTGCCACTTACCTTCCAAAAATGAAAGCAGACATTTCTTTTAAATTTTTTTTAATATGTGTGTGTGTGTGTGTATGTGTGTGTACCATCAAGTTGGATCTGACTGGTACAGGTGGAGATTGTCCCTCCTTGTTCAGCAGAGCATCCGGTAGGATTTGAACTGCGTACCTCTGGGACTGCGATGCAGAAAGCGGCCTTTTATGAACCACTGTTGTACAAGAGCCCATGAAGTCACTGGCCACTCACCTGGAATGTTCCCAAAGTCCCTGAAGATGCGGAAGTCTGTATCGGAAGGAATGATTCCACTCTGGAAAACCTCCTGGGCCACCACGGACGCAAAGGGGTGCTTGGCTGCAGAGCCATACGCTTGCACCAGCCACGGGTTTTCAGGGCCTGAAACACAACGCGGCAAAGCAAGCTGAACCTTGTGGCTTCAATATATGCCTTTCACAACACTCACTCTTCACTCACTGACGTGTTCCGGCTGCAGAGATGACGCTGTGATGTAAAATCAGTGTCACGTGAGAGTGGGCGCCGTGCCCCACCATCGGTGCCAGTGCACCCCCTTGGTGCACCCCCTCACTATCGTGCTGGGATGTGGGTTCACAGCGGGTTCCCTCCCATCATGCCTGTCCCACACGGTGGAGCCCAGTAGGGTATTGGGGGGGGGGGTGACGGCACTCAGGTTTTGTCCATCGCCCACCACCAGCCCTAGACAGAGAGGCCACTCTTCTCTGCCCACCACTTCCTGCTGCCCAACCTGGGCAGGTACCTAGCTTGTTCGTCTGATTTGGCACCGCAGTTCCGCACAACTGAACTGTCTTTACCTCCCTTTCCCACCTCTCACCAACATCCCACAGCCCCTGAAACCTTCCCACGCTCGCCTGGCCTCACCGCACCTGCCTTAAACCTCAACTCATCCTACCAATGTTCTTTTCTCAGAACCAAATGTCTTGGGCAAAGGGGAGACGGTATCCCACAGCCTGGCTGTCTCCGGTATATTGTTTGGGTGGCTCACAGAGGCTACCCAGGCATGGCTACGGCTCTGCATGGGGCTGGAACCATTAGATATACCACCTGAGAATTTTTTTTCCAAAGTATTCTAAATGCACTTAACAAGATAAATGCACAGTGTCAGATAACACGATAGTTGGTAAGTGAGGAACAGACACACACCTAAAATAGAGACAGTAACAAATTCCAAAAGACGGAGATAACGCCAAGCAGATTCTTTGACCACGGTGACATTATACTAGGCATCAGTAACAAAAAGAGAGCTAGGAAATCCCTAAGTGTTCAAAAATGAAGAATTATACTTCCCAAATAAAGATGGATCAAAGAAGAAACCACAGGAAAAAATCTGAAAATGTTCTGACTGGCACAAAAAATGCAAATGTATCAAAACTCCAGACAACCAGATGAAGAAGTGTATGAAATGAATACACAGATTAAAACATATACACACATGCTGAAAAGTAATGGCTTACACCTCCCAGATGTCAAAGTGTAGTCCCCAGAAACAGCACAGTAGCACTCAGGAATGTGTAAAATGCATGTTCTCATCCCACCCCGAAACTGTGGAAGGAGGAAATCTTGGGTGGGGCTCAACAGAGTTCTAACCAGTGCTTCAGATGATTCTCATGCTTCTCTCGTTTGGCAACTGGCTTCATGAGAACTTTCCCAAATATTAAAGGAAAAAACAAAGGAGAAAAAAGTACCTTGCAAGAACTTTGCCAGAAAAAGAATATACTTTTGAACACACCTTACAAATGTATTTCCAGACATTCACCTCAAGTCAAACCAAACCAAACAGCACGTTAAACCCACAGCACAGCGCTCAGTGGCCACTTGTCCTGAGGGTTTGGTCAGCCTCCGCGCTGGGAGGTGGTGGGAGGTTGCCCAGAGGGTCACCCAGGCTGAACTCTCACTGGGAGTGAATAGTCCTGTTCTCTTTCCCACAGACCAAGCTGGGTAGGTTGGAACCAACGTTGTAATCAACGGTCAACCTCTCAACCACTGTACCACCTGGACTCCCCAAAAACACAGAATCAAGGCAATAATAGTAAATGGGTAGGTGTCAAACCAGAAAATAAACATCAGTGAAAGAAAAAAACAGAAGCTGTCCCTCTAAAAAGAACAATGAGACCAATAACTCCCTAGACAGGAGCAGAAAGAGCCCTGGGGGTATGAACCAGGCACTGGCTGCTGGAGAAAGGTGCTGCTTCCCTGCATCAGGTCCTACGAGGCAGGTCTGCTCCATCACACGGGGTCGCTGTAAGTCAGAACCCTACTACCAGGCACACAATGACAAGAGACAAGACTTACAAGAGACTAAGAGGGGAGGTGCATAAAGGACCAAGGTCAGAAACAAACGATGAACATCACTGCAGACACCACAGACAGGGATTAACTTTTACCCTATTCTAGAATAGCTGAATGGAGTACAAAAGCTTATTGAGAAACACAATCAAGGTTATGGCAAAAGGAACAGAAAGGGGTAACAGTTGTGTATCTATTGAAGAAAACACCAAGGTGAATGGCCTTACTAGAATTTTTCCCAACATGAAAAGGGAAAAAAAGATATTAATACTATGCAAACTCTCCTAGACTCCTCCCTTGACAAAGGGAATACTTTCAAACTTTCTTTATGAAATCATGAAAACCATAATACCAAATCTGGCAGACTTTACAATAAAAGAAAAATTACAAATGAAACTTTCTCATAAAAATATTCTTAACAAACTGAATCCAGTAATAAATATATAATATCTCAAGTTCAGCTTACTGCAGGAAAACAAGATTGATATAACACTGTCTATAATAACATACCATGATACTAGAGTAAAAGGTGGAAAAAACTTAAGTGATAATCTTCACAGATACAGAAAACATATTTGACAAGTTAGGTCTATTCAGGATAAAAACCTTAGCAAACCAGAAACACAAGGGAACATTCACAAATTAATCTGGAGATGTCTTTTTTTTTTTTTTAAGAGAGAGGTAAGAACTTGTTTTAAAATTTTATTTTATACTGATTTACTTACAGTTCATATAAATTGTTTTTCACACTGAATCTTTCAGATTTCCTTTACCCACCTCTCCCTCCACCCATTAAATTGTGTGATAATTAACACCCCCCACTCCCCACATCCTCACTCCTGCCCAACCTCACCCCACTACTCCCACCTTCCCTGCCCTGGATCTTCATACATGTTCTACAAAAATGGTCTCATACAGTACTAGTCCTTAGTATTCAGTCCTGGGACTGAATTAGTTCACCTAGCATAATGCTTGGAGATGTCTCTTAAAAAAAAAAATCTAAATGCAGCAAAGAGCTCAAGTGCATCAGAGGTGGTAAAGTTAGCACAAGGTAGGCTGGGATTCAGAGCTGCGGTTCATAAGATTGCTGAGTCATACTCAACTCGACTACACTTAACAAGACCCACAACATTTATAAAGATCAGAAGGAGGGAGGAAGAGGGGAATTTCAAAGATGCTGTGAGTATGAACATAGATATTTCAAAAGAATCTAAAAGTTACTAACAAGTTTAGCAAACTTGCTGGATAAGAGTAAATTTTAGAAAGAAACTTTGTAACAACAACAAATCAAGTTGCTAGAAATATATTTAAATAAAATGTGCCAGATATCCTCCTAGAACACAACATTGTTAAAAGAAATTAAAGACAACTTGAAAAAAAAAAAAAAAAAGAAAGGGCATGCCACATGAATGTGTTGGAAAACTCAGTATTGTAAAGACAGTTATCAATTCTCCCCAAACTGATCTACAGATTCACTATGACAGCGACCTAAATGTCAGTAAGACGTGTGGATGTGGATTTATACACGGAAACTGATCAGCTGATTCCAAAATGTATACAAAAATGCAGAGGGACTAGAAATAGCAAAGACCATCTAGAAGAAGAGAGTGAGAAGACGTCATGAAATACTGTCCTGCTGAACATTGTTGATTGCCTTCGAGTCGACAGTGACCCTCTGAACAAAAGGGCTGAAGTCTTTCTATAACTATCATTTCTCAAAGTTCATAGAGTTTCCAGAAGCATGTTGTTTAGAAGTGGATGCCACTCCTGCTTCCAAATCGTACATGATTATTATGGAGTTATTAAGCTTTTCAGACATGATACTATGATTATCTTTTATTTTTTCAAAGAGTCCTCAGTCTAGGTGCTGAGGTTAATTTACATAATGTCTGGAATTTGCTTTGAAATACCCCACTGACAGTGTTCAATTGCTGCAAATTTTAAAAGCTAAATGATGTGTCATACAGCTTGCTGACATTTAGATCGCTGTCATATTGAATCTGTAAATCAATTTGGGGAGAACTGATATCTGTTTTTACCAACTGAGTCTTCCAACCCATGAATATGGCATGGCCTTTCATTTTTATACCATTCTCTCCACTTTAATAATAAAGTGTGAAGTTTCCACGCTAAGGAAGATTTAAAACAAAACAAAACAAAACCAAACACACACAAACCAACAGACTATGTTCTTATGGTTATAATGATTAAATTCATTGTCCTCAAGTAGGAACCGCTTAGCGCTGACCCTCCAGTGGGTTTGTGAGGGGGGCTGTAAACCTTGGAGGAAACGTCCCCAAGGAGATCGCCCTTGGAGTCACTCGTGGACTCAACCCACCAGAAAGGCATGGCTTTTGGTCCAGCAGTGTTAACTCCCGGTACATGACAACACCAGAGCTCCCTCTGTAATGGAGAAATGTAGATTCTAAAACACTGAACTAATTTAGGAAGTTTCTGCACTATAGTCTATGTGAAGAATGAAAGTAGTCTCGAATAAGGGAATGGTGGAAACAAAAAAGCTGACCCCAGTGCTTAACTGAGAAGGCAGAATCCATAGTGCTTAGCAAATGAAATGAATGTGACGTGAGATGTCAAGGACAAGTCCAGTGTGAGCACGTGGGTGGCATTGAGAAAGTATAAATGGAGGGGAGGCAGCTAAATGGGTTATTAAAACACTATGATACAAGGACAGAAAAACAGACTAACAGACAGGAAGAGAGAACACAGAAACACAAATGTGTTCACGTGATTTACAAGTATGGTGTTATTGTGCATCAGGAAAGAATGTTTGTTTTTTAAAAATATGAGGGGCTGGATCAAATAGATATTCACAAGGGAAAGTTAATCTTGATGTTTATCTCAAATCATACATAGAAATCCATTTCACAAAGACTATAGACCTAAATATCCATCACCCATTGCCACTGAGTCAATTCTGACTCCTAGTAACACTGTAAGACAAGAAAAAAATGGTCCCAGAGGGTTGCCAGGGCTGTGAACTTGACAGAGAGGAACTCTGGTGATCTCAGGAGCAGGGACAGTGCATCCCCCATTTGCTCCTCACGAGAAGGATT